TGTGGCATGCAGTAAACATCCAGGCACTGTGTCCCCAGAAATGAAAGTGGGGGCTACACCCCTAACACCGGGGACTTCAATTAATTCTAGAAGAACAGTTTGGTACTGTTTGGATCTTATATGTCCCCAAAGGATCATGTGTTCAAGGCCTGGTCCAAGGGTTGTTATGGGGGGACCTTTTGGAGGATAGGGTCCTTAGGTCTCTGGGGATGTATCCTTAAAGGAGTCCATGGGAGTCCTGTCCCTTCTCTTTATGCTTCTGGTCGTGACAAGGTAAACTTTTGCTTCGCCATGCATTTCTGCCTTGATGTGCTGCCTAGACACAAGCCCAACGGGGACAATGAGTCATGGCCTGGAACCTCTAAAACTGACACAGAATAAATCTTTTCTCTTTATAAGATGACTCTCTCGGGTATTTTGTTATGGTGACAGAAAGTTAAAACACATGTTCTGACAAACCTGGAATATAAAGACAGACAAATGGAAAATGATGCCCTTGGGTCTGAAATACACCTCACCAATAAGAGTCAAATCTTACTCAATTTTCTAATACTTCAATAAGTGAAGACTATGTTTATAGAGACCACTACAAGGTGACCACCACACCTTGGCCAATACAAGGTCACTTGTACTTTACTGACCTTCAACTCAAGGTGACCCACTCTTCAGAGAGTCAGAAATGCTAGGTTCAGACAGAACACCAGGAACCACTTGCATCCTGGAATCTTTCACTGGATCTCAATGAACACTGACAGATAGCCAATCAGTCAGCTTAACTTCTGCAACGTTAGCACCACAGAGCAGCATCACAACCAAGGAATTAAAGCATTATAGTCAGGGTCAAGGACAAGCAGTATTCAGCCTCAGGAGATGCACCCGAAAGCCAGAGGCTTGGCTAGGATACACGCAAATACCTGAGCTATTCCTGTATATGCATCAGCACCTCCATCTCAGTCCCTTTCGAATCCATACACATGCCTCATGTGACAGAATCCTCTCCACTGGTCCCCTGGATGGCCCTGCCCTCACTCACCACCCTCTGTGGCCACTGACCATGTGACAATGGCAGGTTGACACGACGACTCATGTGACCATGTGACACAGTGACTCGTGTGCTAATAAGTGTAATAAAGACTGGCTGTCCAAAAAGTCTTTTCCTATAAGGCTGGAAACAAAACAACTCAATCTCCTTGGAACTGAGGTGGTCATGTGACAGTTTCAGCCAATGAGACTGAAGCAAGTGCCACTGGGGTTATAAGTCCTTCCCAAAAAACCTATTTTCAGATAAATACTGTATGATTCCATGAGATAGGGTCCTTAGAGTAGACAAATTCATACAGACAATAAGTGGAACAGTGGTTGCTGGCAATGAAGGGGACAGGGAGTTTAAAGGGTGCAGAGTTCCTGTTTTTCAAGATGAAAAAGTCCTAAAGGTACACAGTGGTGATGGTTGTACAACATTGTGGACAGACTAAATGCTATTGAACTGCCCATTTAAAAAGGGCTAGTTGAAACAGTAACCTTTATATGATGTATATTTCAACCACAATTTTATAAAGTAAAATAATTTTTTTCAAGTTTTTTAATAGATAAAAAGCTAACCTAGTCCAAGTTCTTGCCCATTGCATAAGCACCTGCAGACGGGAGCTGGAATTCACTGGTCCACCGCTGAAGTGTGAAGTAAAGTTGTGTATGTGTAAGTATAGGTAGAGAGGCCATCTCTAATCCAAAAATCTGAAACCCACAGGGTTCCAAAATTTGGCACTTTTTGACTGCTGTCATGACACCACTGGTGGATAAATCACACACTATGAAACCCTGCACAATTATTTATAATAACACATAAAATTACCTCCATGCTAGAGCATAAGGTATATATGAAATACAAATGAATTCAAGTTTAGATTTGGATTCCATCCCACAGATAGCTCTTAATGTACATGGCAAATATTTTAAAAATCCAAAACGCTTTCTGGTCTCAGATATTTTGGATATAGTACTCAAGTTGTACTTGGTCAAGTGCCCTGGAGAAATAACTCTGGGGAAGGGGAACTGACAAGAAAAGTCAAGCAAAGTAGTGCAAAGATGCGAAGCCCTTTAAAGCATAAAGAGCTACGAATGCAAGTAAAACACCAGACCATACTAGTCCCATAAAAAGGATGTGGAATGAATCTAAAATGATTGGCTTGTGAGAAGGCACACCTGAGTGTGTGAGTCACTCAGTGTGGCTGCAACACGGGACGTTAAACCGGAAAGTACCTTGTATGGTGGGGTGACGTTCCACCTGCAGTGGAAGAATGACAAAAGAGAAAGCACCACAGTGTCTGTCCCCAAACCCTGAACGCCATCTTCATGTAGCTATCAGTGGTTTATGAGCACTTAGAACTCTTTTCCAATAGTCACCTAAAATAATACTCTATTAATCTCGTATGTTTTATTCATTACTGCCTTTTCAATGGCAGACCCATGAAAGAATGATCTGACTCAAAAGAAGTCTAACACTGACTAGAAATGAACATTTTAATTACTTAAAAGTGGTCAATCAGCCAGTGCTGAAAAGACTTCAAATATTTAATGCATAAAAATAACTAGTAAAATTTTCATAGAGTAACTTTATAAATTTAAAGTGTCAAATAAAAGGTCTATAATCAGAATAATCATCATCATAAAAATAATTTAACAGCAACAAAGTGACCATAATGAATCCCATTCATTTTACATTTTATCACCAGAACTGAGGAAGGAAATGTTTATATATATATAATATAGAGTTTTATATATATATATAATGATAAATAACTTGTTCTTAAGTTGTCACTTTAAAGGTAAATGATCACTAGGGGCTAAATATCAAAACTAAAAAAAAAAAAAAAAAGCTCAAGCAAGACCCAAGAAGACAGATTGGATTTTTACCTTGTGTAAAATATATTTTTTGATGAAACCCATGCATAATTGTGACCAATAAGACCAGATAATATTCAATAGATATTATTATCATATTCAATATTCTACAGGGTGGTTACAAGCACTTGTAAAATAAATACAGGTGGTCTGTGAAAACAGCGCATTTTCTGAATTGTTTCTTAATGACAATTAGTTTTCATTGATTGCTATAGTCAAAGCAAAGAACAAAGAAAGACCAACATGAGCAAACTTCTGCTTTTTACTATAAAACCCAAACTTTATATCCAAAGGACATAGCAAAAGGAGAGAGTCCCGTCAAACAATGCTAAACATTCACTAAACCTTGCTTATCAGTCTTAGGGGTGTGGGGGCTGCAATGACTTGTGCATTCACCAACAGAGAAGATACCAAGAGCAAAGACAGTGAACCCCAGGCAGGACTTAGTTAGTTCTCCGGCTATAAAAATCAGGACACTCTTACTGCTGTTTGTGTTAGGTAATTAACAGCTGTAAAGCATACTGAAGTAGAAACTGCTAAATAAATAATGACTGCCGAAGAATTTTAGCCACAATGTGCTAAATAATAACGATGAAACATGGGCTTCTAACTTTTCCGTTTTTGTTTCCAAATTAATAATGCAGGCAAGACTCCAGGCTCATTAACATGGCTTCACACACTGTTATTCAGCTAGTTAAATTTAGTGATTAAACATCACAGAGGTGATCTCGCGTCTCCAACACCAGTTAACTCGACTCTACATGTAGCAAGGAAACGAAGTCATGCTCTATTCCTGTAACTGCAAAAAGTATCACCACTTTGCCTATGTATATTTTTGGTTGAGTTCAAGTAACCACTGTTTTACTTGAAAATCCATGAAACAGTCAAATTTTGAGAATTTGACTTTGAAACAATGTTTTAAGCTATTCTGGGAATTAACAACACAGTCACATCTAAACTGACTGTCTTGAGCCAGGCATAGTGGTGCCTATCTATAATTCCAGCTACTCAGAAGGCAGAGCTAGGAGGATTATGGTCCAAGGCTGACAAAGGAAAAAGCACAAGGCCCAATCTGAAAAACAAACTAAAATCAAAAGGATTTGGGTAAGACTCAAGTGGTGGACTACTGCCTAGCAAGCAGAAGGCCCTGAATTCCAGTACTGCCAAAAAAAAAACCCCAAAAAGCAAAAACAAAAAAACTCTACATGTGTTTGTTAGACTTGCTAAGGGAAGAAAGAAGAATGAGGTGATATTAACACCAATTCTAGCCATTTCTTCCAAATTTTACCCCAATGGTGGAATGAGCACAGAATAAGAGTCAAACTATGATAGACTAGGAGAGCTACAATATTTTGCTACTCATTTGTTTTTGTTCTTTGAATACAACTTTGTAGTAACTTCTGAGTTCTGTGCAATCTTAAAAAAATGAACAATGATATAAACCATGGCATGATGGGAAATTGTGAGAGATTAAGTTCATTTTAATTCTTTTTGGCTAAAAACATCTAGAAAATACACTGTTCTTTCTCCCTAATTCCAGAATAAGATCAAGGTTCTATTCAAAAGAAAGTATTCTGAGAATTTTCCATGCACTTCTAAATAAGCTGCAACTATAAAGGAACAGTTTTAACAACACTGAAGGAAAAAAAAAAACTAAATCTTGTTGATTGTCTATTTAGAGAGTCATCCCCCAATGACTATATTGAGAAAAAACATCTAAGAAGAAACCAAAGTAAAGGGTGTTATTCACATTAAAATGCAAATATATCATTCGATTCTTATAATAACCAACACCTCAAATACCATTTTTAGTGACTCATATTAATTTAATTGTGACATTAGCTTTTATAATCTGTAAAAGGACCACTGTGTTCCAAACATAATTATCTCGCCAGCATCTCATTTTGTGAAATTATTAGTTAACATGAACGCCTTGGAATGAATTTGTATGTGATTAGTTTCACTTACTAAAGAACACTGAATAATTTAAGATCTGTTTAAATAGAGAGGAAACAAGAGGGCATTTCTGAGTGTTGAATTCACTCTAACATGTACAAAGGGAATCCAAGTTCTTTCAAGTAACTATGAATTACACAAACCTTCCAAGTGCAGCCACAACAACCGCCCCTTCACACTGACCACGGAGGCCACACAGAGTTCCCCTGGATTCCTGGGGTTCACAGCTTCAAGTTTCATATTCTTTGAGAAGCCCCAACTGAAGGATGTCTGGAAAAGAAAGAGAACCAACACTGAGTCAGCAACTCCCATAGCAGGGGAATGGCAGCTGCAGAGCTGGCCGGTGAAGAAACAGAAACGTGTGCACATGTATCTTAGTATCTGAAACAGACAGACTTGTTCACATCTTGGTTCTGCCCACCACTTGTGAGGAAAGAACCATGCATTCTTCATTTCTGTACCCCAGAAATGAGAACTACACTTGGTACACAGTGGGAGCCCAATGTTTGTCAGATGAGTGAAAGATGAATACATTCTCTCTTTCCAGTCCCATATGCACCTGATTTTATAGGACCACTGACGCTCACATCATTTCTTACTCTCTTCCATATCTTGCTAAATTTGTACCTATGCATATTTGATGGTGTTATAGCAGGCAGATGGACCACCCATCCTGGCATCATTTTCTTTCAAATACCCGTTGGTGTTTCTTATAGTGCAGGTCTGCTGGTTTTCTTTTATCTGAAATTAGCTTTATTTCCTCTTTGCTCCTTTAGTTTGCTTACTTGTATTTATTTTTTAAATTAACTTTCAAAAACTTGCACATAGTAAAATTCACTCTTTTGGGTGTACTATTCAACGAAGGTGAGGTTTTAGACCAATGGCAGACAGTCACACCTCTGTAACCACAATGGAAATACAGAACAGTTTCCCATCCCTAAAATACCTTGTAGTGGCCCTCTGGTAGTCAGTCCCTTCTCGACTCTCAATTCCTAGCAGCCACCTGCCTATGTTTGGTGCCCCCAATTGTGCCTTTTTATTTTAGATTGTCATATAAATGGAATCACACTACCCGGAGTCCTGAGGGTGGCCCTGGAGATTCGCCCGCGCTATTGCAAAGATCAGTAGTTTGTTTTATTTTATAGCTCAGCATGTTTGTAGATGAGCTGTGGTTTATCCATTCATTTGCCAGTTAAAAAACATCTGAGCAATTCAATAGTAAGTGGTTATAAGTAAATCAGGTACACGCGTTTGTGTAAACAGAAGTATGTGTTTAAACGACAGAAATTTATTTTTTCATAATCCTGGAGACTGAAAGTCTAACAACAAGATATCATTGGGTCACTTTCTTCTGAGACCTAAATCTTGGCTTGCAGAAGACTGTCTGCTCCCTGTGTTCTCACATGGTCTCTCTCTCTCTCTCTCTCTCTCACTCTGTGTGTGTGTCTGTGTCCTAACTTCATCTTCTTATAAGAACACCAGCCATATTGAAATTAGGACTCACTCACAGGGCCTAATTTTATTTTAAATACTTTTTCAAAGATCCTCCCCCAAATACAGTCACATTCTGAGGACAGGAAGGAGGGGTTGGAGGGTTATTAAGATTTGATCATATGAACTGGGGGGAATCTAGTTCAACCCTTCATGCTAATTTTTCACTCCTTTTAGAAATGAGATTGCTGGACCAAATGGTAAATGAATGTTTAACCATCTGAGAAACTGCCAAATTGTTTTTCAATGTGGCTATGCCATTTTGCATTCCTGTCAGCAATTTGCGAGAGTTCCCAGTTGCTATAAATCCTCATAAGCACCTTGTATTGCTAGTTTTTCAGAATTTAACCATTCTCACAGGTAGCCAGTGGTACATCATTGTGGTTTTAACTTAGGTTTCCCCTAAATACTAATGATGTGAGCATTTTTCCCGTGTTTCTTTGTCATTCACATCTTCTTAGATGAAGTGTGTATTTTCACTTTATTCTTCTGGGTCTCCAATTATATGTAATTATACAATTATACATAATATCGTCCCCCAGATCTCTGAGGTTACATTTGTCTTTTTTTTTCTCTGTTCTTCAGATAATTTCTATATTCAAAGTCATGCACTCTTTCCTTTGTCATCTCCATTCTGATATTAAGCTACTTCAACAAATTGGTTTTATTTCAAAATTATATTTCTCAATTATGGAATTTCTTTTTTCTAGTTCCTACTTCTTTTCTGCGGCTTCCTATCTTTTCATTCATAATGAGGATATTTTGCTGTAAGTCTCAAACTTCAATCACCTTGAGAGCCTTTATAGAGCAAAACCCCCGGGCTTTACTCCAGAGTTTCTGATTCATTGGTTATAGGTGGAGGCAAAAATCTGCATTTCCAGCAGATACTCAGGCAGTCTGAAGCTGCTGGTACGGTTGAGGTTAGATATAACAAGGGCTTTAAAATACTTGACTAATTCCAACATCTCTGTTGTTTCTTTCCCACTGAGAACAAACCGGATTCTCCAGTCTCTTCAGGACTTGAGCAGGTTTGGACTGAAACATGTACATTATAACTGTTATGGTGTGTTAGGTTCTGACCAAGTGTGTCGGGTTTTCTGCTTTAGCGAGGAGTTACCTTGATTGGACTCAAATTACCTACTCTGTGTCTTGAGAAGGAGCTGAAATCTCAATTCTGTTCTTTTATCCTTTTATCTAGGCTGCTGAGAGTCTGCGGTCAGATATAGGATTCAAAGACATAGACAGAACTTATAGACAGGACTTGGTATTTCCCCCTTCTCACTCTCCTGTTTGATACTCCTCTCACTTTCCAGTTGGTGGTTGCCCAATTTTATCACCTGGTCCATCAAGGCAGAAAGTCTGAACTTTATATCACTCTTTTAGTCATCCCACAGGTTGTCAACTCAGGCTGTCTTCAAGCTAAAGACTGAAAAAAGTGGGGTGCCAGCTCATGTTCTTCCTCCTTTCTTTGCACCCCTTACTCCCCTCCAGAATGTGCCTGCTTCTGTTCATCTACACTACACTCATGCCTTCGTTTTTGGCACTGTGTCTGGAGTTGAGTTGGGGAGTACAAGAAAATCAATTCAGTATAAGCTTATTCAGTCAATACTAGATGCGAAATTCCTTCCTACCATGATTTTAAAATACAGATAAAATCTTCTCAAGTCATCAACCACTATGAATTACAATCAGATATGTCATATTACCATATAGTCCTATCTATTTTGAGATATATAAACTAATACAAACAGGTTTCTACATAAAACAGATTACCTCTTATGTGATCCATGAAAAGAAATTAAGGTAATTCATATTCATGTGTCTTGTTATAAAACAAGTTGAAAAATGCCATCATATCTTTATATAATCACAAAATTATACACCACATGTTAAAAAATCAATGTGCTCCTTTTCTTTATGTTTCTTTGGAAATAAGAACAAGATAAATTCTAGGTGGGCTATGTTTTTCTTCAAGTCATCCTGTGTCCTCCACACATATTAGATATTGATCTTCTTTCTGATAACATAACTCAATAGGCCACTTGAAAAAACTCTAAGTAAGTTAAAATGCATTTTATCCTACTTAATAAGGGAAAGCTACAACCACATAGCCTATTTTCGTTTCAACTCATTGCTCGAGGGTAATTTATAAAGGGATCAATAGCAAAACTGTTACCTCTGAGTTTATTTTACTAAGCATTTGGCTGTGTCAATCCGTTCCATAACCACCCCTGACTGTAAACCTCCCTGGAGAAATGTCTTCCAAGCATCCAATTCCCTACCAGATCTCATCTGGTACAAGAGATGTGTGATTAAAAAATGAACTCATAATAAGCATTCCATTAAAGAGCACTTGTAGCAAGCTAACGAATTCAGCAAAGCACCAGTAACACAACGTATATGCCAACAGGCAAACAATCCTGTCTGTTAACTAAATGGAAAGCCAGAAACAAAAGCATTCCTACGAATGCACCAGCAAATTCATTAAGACAGATTTAATCCCGAAAGCTCAAAAGCCAACAAGGTTATGTGGCTACTTGCTCCACAATTAAAAGCCACTTGGACAACACCTGGTTAAATAAGAGCAAAGGACAAATCCTTTAAAAAGCTTTAGTGGAACTATGCTGTTATAAAAGAAATACACCCTGAACACAGAACACAGTAGTGATGTGAACATTTTCATCCTGAGGGTAGAGTCAAAGAAGGAACAGTTTCCTTCTGGGGAAGAACGCACAATCTCAAATGGGTTTGGGGATGTTCATGCTTCCATGGTCCTAAATCAAAGGCAGTTAGGCAGTTGATCCAAGACAGCATCAAGGTGGTGAAAAATCAGTAAGACACCACTGGACTTGATAAGCCGTATGGAATCACCAGCAGCTGTCCTCATGGGGCACAGTTCCACAGCTCCCTCCAGCTCACCACTTGCACACACACCACACAGTTCTTCAATGCTACAGAGAAACTGTGCATGTACCACGGCAATGCCACCCAGCACGAAGGCCACTTTGTCATCTCAGTCATCTAAGGAGCCCTGACTTCCAACTCTGCTACTGATTTCCCTCTTTGTGAGTGTATGCTAACCCAGTAATCAGTCATCCTAATTTTCAAAATCTGATTTTGACTTTTGCTCAGTTTTGAACTTCTGTGAGATCAACATTTCCCCCTCTGGCTTTTCACAGGCTGTTATCCCTGTAGTAGAAATTACTGAGGGGATGGCAGCCCTAGAGCTCATGCTGAGAAACACGTCTTTGACTAGGGAACCCTTTCCACTGCCATAACTTCAGATCTCAACTAAGAGGAATATGTCTGTATTCTTAGCACCAGGTATCAATTTTCATAACTAAAAGTATGTTAAACACACCAGGCAATACATTTATACTTCATTCTTAAATCAGAGACATTTCACAACCCTTGTCATGGTTCCTAGGGTTGATAAAGCTCAGATGAATATTTTATAGATCACTTTGTAAAACCAGCTCTTGTTATTATGCAAGCACACGTGCTCGTTGCTATTCTGTGCCACCCATAAGCTCTTTGGATAAGGAATTTAAGGGAAAGCACAAAACTCTTTAGCATCTTACTAGTTACCAAAGTACTTAATAAAGTAATCAAAGAAAATAAAATTAGATTCTAGTTTTTCGTAAGGTTCAGGAGTGAACTATCTCCCGTCCCTGGGGTTGTCAATATTGCATCACACAGCACGCACACATCTAAGAGTGGTGTGGGGGGCTAGCTGTCCACCAGAATTTGTTCTCTTTCCTTTATAGTTCAGAACTATGGCTGGGATAGAGAAGCCAAGCCAAGATCCCTTTCTTAGCATCACTTATAGCTGCTGAGAGACCAACGGTCACCAATGGGAGGTGAACAGACATAATATGTATCACTACCAGGCTACAGTGTTTAGAATTAAGGATTTTGTCTCCTTGATCACTTAACTGCTGGCTATATTCAGGTGCCAAGTGTAGCCCTTGTCTCATCCTAATGAGAACCACCCACCAATCAGGAACACCTCGAACTCTTCCACAAATGAGAAACAAACCTTTAACAAGAGCAAGCCACTGTACATTTATTAGTCAATTTGTTGTTATAGTCGAGCATCATCCTAACAAATAGACAACTCAAAAGAAGGACTTTTCAGAAACCATGAAGATTCTGTGATCCTACAGTGCACAAATAGTATTCCAAACTTGGTCAAAAAATGACAGCAACTTTTAACACCTATAGTAAAAAAAGTAGCAAGAAGGAAGTGTCTTACATTTCTGAAGCAGAAGGGAGGTGCTTCCTCTGCCCCATGTTGCTTGTGATAATCTGCCCAGTCAAAGTCCTGGCTAGAGTAACCTGTGAACAACAAAACACAGAGAAGACAGCATTAGCTAGGTTAAATCCCGGAAAATCTCCAACCTCAGAGCAGCTCAGTGATTAAAATAACAAGAGGCACAAGTCTAGGTCCCTGAAGGACAAAGTCCTCTGCAGCCTAACAGCACTTCAGAATTCAGGAGCGCAAGTATTTCAGAAGTATTTGAGGAGCTGTAATGTACTAAGTACAAGTGGGGCATTATCTGAAGCTAGTTGCCACTGCGAAGATTTGCTATTAGGGAGAACAACTGAGAGAGAATGTGACACAAAACACATTCTTACAACCCATTTGTGCAGGACTTGACACTGATTTTCAAATAAGTTCTGACTTCACAGGAACTCAATTGCACCTTTGAAAGACTACGGGAGGACGAAAACAATTGTGGAGGGTTAATTTTTAAAGTTCAGTCAAATACAGAGCAGAGGGCGAACAGAAGAATGGAGGCTGGGGAAATAGAGCCCCAAAAGAAAAGTAGGAAGGGAAGAAATGTAAGCACACTGCAAGGATGAGTTGCGGGGAGAGAGATAGGGGGAGAGAGAAAGAGAGAGAGAGAGAGACAGATGGGCCTCTCCTTATGTGAAGCTTTGGGGGAAAGATCTGAGCTCCTGAGGGAGGGACTGAGAAATAACTATTTATGTGCACTGAATTTCATTAAATACAGGTCCTACTCATGGGTTTTTTCTTTTTCCTGTCTTTCTTTACTGACTTCATTTTGGGAGAAGAAGGAGATATGGCTATATGTTAGACACGCATCACGGCAACTCCAGGAAGACTTGGGAGGAGGTGGCAGAAAACAATTCTGACTCATAAATAAGAAAAGCACAAGTAAGGAAGAAATTTCTTCCTAGTGAGAGCACCACTGGCACAAAGTCAAATCTGAATGAGGACACCCAGGAAAGAGAGAGAGATGCGGAAATTGTTCTTGTTAATGAGGATGGAAATGCAAAATATAGACCAATTATGATTAACCAAAATAAAGGAATTACCTTCAGTTAGTGTGCTCTCTTTATTGGTTGAACTGTGTGTAAAATAAATGCTTAATGGCTTTCTGAAGTATGTTTTTGACACAGCCCTCCGATTTTTTTTTTCACTGTATCGTCACAATTCCCACCATTGAAAATTCACTTAACACAGGGAATTTAAGTACTAAATCTCACAGGTGCAGAGCAACTACAGAAATTCTTCTTCAAATTCAATTTATTTTTAACTGACTCAAGAAAACAAAAATTAGACATATTAATGGCGTAACTTCAGACATGTATATACTCTTTAATGTTTAAAGCCAGGTTAAACATATTTATCTCCTCAAACATTTATCATTTTGGAAGGTGAAATCTCTCTCTCTCTTGCTTTTTTTTTTTTTTGGTGGTACTAGGGTTTGAACTCAGGGTCTTATGCTAGCTAGGCAGGTGTTCTACTACTTGAACTGTGCTTCCAACCCATTTTTGTTTTAGATATTTTTCTGACAGGGTCTTGAATTTATCCTGAGGCCAGCTTAGGCCATGATTGTCTTATTCATGCTTCCCACGTAGCTGGGATGACAGGTGCACACCACAGTGCCCAGCCATTTGGTTGAGATGAAGACTTGCAAAGTTTTTGCCCAGGCTGGCCTTGAACCACAATCCTCCTGATCTCTGCCTCTCTGGTAGCCATGCCTACGGGTTATCAGCCACCATACCAGGCTAGTTATTTTTTTGATAGGGTCTCAGGTTTGCCCAAGGCCAGCCTCAGACAGTGATCCTCCTACCTCCACTTCCTAAGTAGCTGGGATTACAGGCATGCCTCACCAGATGTCTATTTCACTCTACAAAGACTGACAACTCATTTCTTTCTGACCAGGTGACGCGTAGTCTCAGAGATTTCAGATACAGCATATGCTGTCCAGCTCATTTCAAAGTGGTTCTTCAACTTCTTCCACCTGCCTTTCCCCAACTGTACTCTTCAGCACTGTTTCTTCAGCTAAATGACTCTTGTATCAGAGGCTCTGAAAAGGACCAAACCAGCCTTCTTCTAAACATTTTTAAACACATCAGAGCATGTCTTAAATAAGATGATAGAATTTGAGTTGTTTTACAATTAGTACAACTCAACTCTGCCCTTTGCAAGCAGTCTCTCTGGAACCGTTGTGGAGCAAATCCTCACGTCCAAGTATGAGAACAGAAGGAAGAATAAGCCTGAGACACTCAATCTGGCCAGAAGTGTTCTAACTGTACAAGGAGCATGGAACTGGAAAAGACGAGATCTGTGTCTTAGATCTAGCTGCATAGGCAACTGGATGGACCAAGGTAAAAATAAATCTATACCTGACTTGTTTTCAGGGCTCAGCTGGCTGTCACACTCTATGATTCAGAGCCAGTATCTCTATTTTACTGTTGGTATTTGGGATTGTCTTTTCATCTTTCTATGCTTAATTCCCTTCTCTCCTGGGAGAAAAGCATAGGAGCACTGGACAGAGCAGGTATGCCAGGGTCTTTCCTGTAGAACACTCAATCCATGAAGACACAGTGCATCACTGCAACACCAGGATCCCATCTGTCGGGGGCTTTGGCAGACTCACTTTGTGAAAGACCTCCTTCTGTCCTGGGATCTCTTTCCTGGGTTTCTGCTACTTCCTTAGATAATTGTGTGAGCTGAAGAAAAAACTTCATGAGATTGGGGGGGGCGCGGGGGGAATCCTAAATGGATGAACAGCATCACTTTCTCTGATATTCATATAACATGGCATTTGGAAATTCTCTAGGATTAATTATCTTTCCAATCCAAAGTCACTCCATTTCCCATGTACAGACATGTAGCTGGGATTTCTAGAACCAACTTCCACAAGGCTTCAAAATGGCACACTCCATGTTTGCTTGGCTCTATATCCAATCCTCCTACATATCCAAGCCTCCAGAGTGTCTATGAGGAGACATTTTTAATCCAATAATCTCCAGATATAATCAAGTCTTGCTGGGCATCATCTAAGCAACAATTAATTATTCTGCCCCTAAAACTCACTCATTTACTTGAACATTGGAGCAGTTGGAGCTTTGCCTCCTCCTCCTTCTCTTAGGGACTGTTATTCACTTCTCAGTTAAAATTCTTTTCTTTTGGGCTAATAATGAGCTCTCTTTGTAAGGCAGCTTTGTGACAGCTCAGAAAATAACTGCTACATAAAAACAAATTGCCATGGATTGTATAATAAAGACAACGGGGGTCAATTATACTCATTAATCAACAAAGGCAGAACAAGAAGTACTGAGGCTTAACTCTAGCCAGGAAAATGTTTTAAACCTGGAGGGAGGGAGGAAAACAGCAGAAGGGAGAAAAAAATAAAAGGAAAATAAAACCCCTTAGGCTATTAAAATTTGCAACAAGCTGTCATGGGAGACGTTAAACCATGGCTATTAGAGTTATTTAAGCCTTTATTAGTGTTTATTCTGAATGACATTCCAAGTGTTACAGGTCTAAAAGGGAAGAGGTTGATGACCCGTTTTCTTGTGTGTATTACACTGGGGACTGAACACAGGGTATTGTGCATGCTAGACAAAAACTCTACCACTTGAGCTGTGTCTCCAGCAACCCATTTTATCTGACACACATTCATTGACATAAACCAGCAACTCTAGCAATATTACGATTGGCAGTGCAAATGAGCAATTCTTTTAAAAATTATTTGGCATTAAAATATTTATGTTCTTTGACACAACAAGTTCACTTCTGGGAACTTATCCCATAAAAATGACCCTAAAAACAGAAAAAGTATCATACATGTTAAGGTACTTTGGTCATCAAGGGACTCCACTTGGGCTTGAGGGGGGGCTGAAGCGACATTCCTTTAACAGGAAGTGATATGGAACTTATCCAAGTTTATCCAAGTCCATGGAATGCCGTGCAAGAATGAAAGGGCAGTTTATTAAAAAAATTATTCATGAAAAATGACTGTTCTTTAGATGAAAAGACTGCACAAATTACTGCCCAATTTATCAGATCTACATAAAAATATGCAAAGAAAAGACCAAAAAAATACAAGAAAAACTTAAGACTTAAATAAATATCAAAATAATTGTTTTGGTATCATTGGCTGTTTTTTTTTCTTTGACCTATTTGTATTTTTCAAGCTTTCAATTTCATGATCATTATCATGAAATTATTTCAATAACAAAAATTATTTCATAACAAGATCTTGGCCCTACTTTAAAATATAATCAAAGCACGAGTCAATCAATCACAACTGTCTCCCCTCAGCCTTCCTCACTTCCGCCAGCAAAATCCTGAGTTGACCCAGTTCCTGAGCACCAGGAAGTGAACTGTGACTACCCCAAGATAATGGCGGTGGCCTCAGGCCCCTTGCCTGTGGCTTGGGACAGGGGTACAAGAAAGGTTTAGGAAAAAAGTTCTGTTATAATAAAAGAGACACACCAAAATAAAAGTTCCTCTTCCATGCTGAGTGACTAAAAAAATGTATAATCATAAGAACAAATAAAAATAGAGTTGGCACACACCTGGCATCCCAAGCTATGTGGGAGACTGAGATCAGGAGTATCTCGGTCGCAGAGCGACCAGGACAGAAGTTTGCAAGATTCCATTCCAACAAAAAATGCTGGGTGCAGTGGTGTGTACCTTCATTCCAGTGACAGTAGGAAAGTGTAAAATAGGAGGACTGTGGTATAGCTTGGCCTGGGCAAAAATCTAGACCCTATCTCCAAAACAACCAGAGCAAAGAGGACTGAAGGCATGGCTCAGATGGACGAGCTCCTGCCTGGCAAACGCAAAGCCCTAAGTTCAAACCCCAGTACCACCAAAAATAAGGAAGTAAGTATTTAAAAATAAAAATAGCAGAGCTAGGGGCTTTACTCAAGTGGTAGAGCACCTGCATACCAGCACAAGGCCCTAATGTCAAACCCCAGAATCATAAATACATATATACCTACATAAATAAAGCAAAAGAATACAATGCTTGCAATCAATCAGACTGGCAAAAGGAAAAAAAAAAAAGAAA